TTTATGTACATTCTGACCACTCCATAATTTTTCTCTAAAAGTACATATCAAAAGATGATACTTAGGTTTTATTCTAATTAGGTTTCAATAAGCCCAAATAAGCCCTAAAAATCCATGTAAAAAAACACATTGGGCCTTAGGAGGCTAAAGAAGTTTTAAGATGAAGCTTTTTAGGTCTGTACTGTACTTTTAACGTATGCAGTAAAAAAAAAAACACAAAGCATAATGTAAATTACTTCAATAATTCACTTAAAGCAACATGGGGAGTAAGAAAAAGGTGTATGTGGTAATACTATAGCATGGATGAAATGCACAAAAGAAAGTAAGACGTGTATAGATCTTCTGTAATAGAGGGAGGTTGAGCGTTTGGGGTCAGGAAAGAGACGTAAATTACAGTGAGGGAAAGCAAAACAGACGCTCAGCACTGACCTGAGCTTCATCACTAATGTGTGTGTGTGTGTTTATCACGGGTGGGAGTGGGAGAGATTGAGTGTGTGTTCGTAACAGTGAGTGTTTGTGTCGGAGAGGTGGAAAGTTAATATCTGTCAGATGTGAGGAGCTTCACTGCAGGGACGGATCGGGTGTGGAGATTTTGTTAATCATTCCACCTTAATTCAGACTTCTTGAAGGAGTGGGTTTTTGATTTTTTGGTAGTGAAGTAATGTACAGTGTTGACCTCTATATCAACCCTGAGCTTGAAACTGCAAGGATTATCAAAAATGTCACGATATTCAGCAAATTTTAAAATCAAAGCAACTCTTGTATTTAATTATGTTATATTTAATTATGATTTATGTAGTTATTATAATTTTTTTAATATAGTGATTTGTAGCAATTTAAGAAGTTAAATTAATGTTATGTAATTGTTAAAGCCATTACAAAATTGTTGTGTATATGATCGTAAGAATAATTAATTATTTTAAATTAAACAAATTAACTATTTAATATTTGTCTTATATGTTGTCTAATGCGTATTAAACATTTCATTAATTGCATGAATTGTATTAATCTAAATAAAAGATTTCCAAGCTAGTAAAATAAATGATCCTTAAAGGTTAAAAAGATAAAAAATAACTTTAAACTTAACAAAACAAACAAAGTTAAATAAATAAAATGTAGTTAAATGTAGAACCAAAGATTGTCAAATAAAATGTATTGTTTGTTGAAATGTTGTTGTGTCAGCAGCTAATGTTGTTTAATTTACCAATATAATATTATACTATGTACACATTTAATTTAATTATTTTTTAATAATTTGATTATATTTTTAATTATTTTACTTACATTTTAAGTATTTATTTAATATTTAATTACATTTTTACTATTATTTTACTTTATTTTTATTTAAGTTAATAATTTTTTATATTATTTTATTTTTATTTAACACATTGTTATTATTATTTTGTTTATTTGTTTCTTATTTAATTTCATAATTTTTTTATTATTATTATTTTACCTTTTTATTTTTAAACATTTTAAATTATTTAATTTTATTAAACTATTTTTATTATTTTATTTTATTTTTTACATTTTTATTTATTTTAATTTAATATTTTGTTTTATGTATTATTATTATTTTATTTTATTTAAAACATGTATTTTATTTTTTTTATTTTATTTTATTCCCCTATGAGTTTTGTCATCTTAATTGAATTAATTTTTTTGATTATTATTCATTTAATTTATTTACATTTTAATTTTAAATATTTAATTTAATTCAATTTAATCATTTTTTTTTACATTTTATGATTATTAATTTTTTATTTAATTAAATTTTTATTTTAATTTAATTTTAACTTTTTTATTATTATAATTAATACAATTTTCATTGTAATAGTTTATTTATTTAAATTTATTATTTAATTCTTTAATTTATTTATTTATTTTATTTTTAATAATTTTATTTTATTTTTAATTATTGTTATTTTATTCCCCTATCAGTTTGGTCATTTTTCAAAAATACATTTTTTTTTTTTTTTTTATTATCAATGCCTCTTTGTTGTCAAATCTGATTTAACATAGACAACTGTATCCCTTAGATTTAATATCTGACACAGTTTCAAAGTTTTCAGTACTCCTCTAAAAGCCAAAAATGAAATGAAAACACCACCAGGCCATTTGTTTGACACATTTTCATGACTGATTCCCGAAAGATGATGCCATTCTCCGGCGGTTTTGGGTGGGAAAGAGTCACAATAAGTATGACGGATCGAATAGTGCATTTTTATTTGTTGTGTTAGTGTTGAACTCACAGTCACTCAGACTGTAGGAGGGCAGAAATGTCAGGAATGAGTGCTTTTGGAGATGAAGGTGCTGAATGGAGCACAAGGGTGGAGGTTCATCCTGTGGGGTACGATTAGTATACCTACGTCTTGCGTTCACTGTTTACACAGGTTCAGTTACACCTCAGTTTTTTGGTATCCTGCGTGCAAGGCGTCCATTGAAGTGTTGAAATAAAAATAAGTTATAGAAACAAAGTAATTGTTCCAGTCAGACGTGTGACATTTAATTTCCTGATGGTGAGTCCGAGTGTGTGTGTGTGTGTGTGTGTGTGTGTGTGTGTGTGTGTGTGTGTGATAACAGAGAAGATATTAGTAACTCTGCTTTGACCTCACACCCTAAATTCAGACAGATTCACTTTCCAGGCAATAGATTTGTCAGAACACACACACACACACACATGCACACACACGCGTACAGACTCGCATTGTTTTTCAGCAGCATGTGATGCTTTATGGGTATTGTAACCAGATGGCGCCTTGCTTAATAACTCTGTTACGCTGTGTGTTCACTGCACTATTTATGCCATTTATCCGATATGAGGCATTTGGCAGACTATGCCGAGATGTGTTAGGGAGTTGGAGAAGACCTCCAAAAATAATGAAGTAAATAAATAACTAATACATGACGAAATAACATTTTTAAATTATATAGAATTTAGTGCTGGGCAAAAATTAAACGCATCCCAAATAAAAGTTTAACATAGTATAGACCATTTCAATGTGGTCATGTCATTGAACATTGCTCGACATCAAACTATTTCATAACTGTAACAAGAGGCAATTTAATCATAACCTAACATTAAAACAGCTATCATAACAATATTTATCAATATGTGGCTCTTGTTGGATACTCAGAAGCTGTTGAAATTGAATATGTAAAACAGGAAATAGGTTTGGGAGCGTTGTTTTTGTTTACATCCCTCCAAATGGTCTATATGTGTGTGTATTATATTTATGTATTATGTACTGTTAAAGTCAGAATTATTAGCCCCCCTGAATTATTAGCCCCCCTGAATTATTAGCCCACCTGTTTGTTTTTTTTAATGGAGAGAAAATTTTTTCAAGACGTTTCTAAACATAATGGTTTCATTAACCCATCTCTAATAACTGATTTATTTTATCTTTGTCATGATGACTATATAATATTTGACTAGATATTGTTCAAGACACTTTTATACAGCTTAAAGTGACATTTAAAGGCTTAACTAGGTTAATTAAGTTAACTAGGCAGGTTAGGGTAATTAGGCAAGTTATTGTATAGTGATGGTTTGTTCCGTAGACTATTGGGAAAAAAATAGCTTTAAGGGGCTAATAATTTTGACCTTAAAATGGTTCATAAAAATAAAATCTGCTTTTATTCTAGCCAAAAATACTTTTTTCTAGCTCCAGAAGTAAAAGTATTATCAGACATACTATGAAAATTCCCTTGCTCTGTTAAACATAATTTAGTAAATATTTAAAAAAAAATAAAATAAAAAAAAAATTCAAAGGGGGGCTAATAATTCTGACTTCGAATGCAGATGTCACACACACACATACAACAAAACTGTATATAAGTATATGATACAAATTATATCCTTATATATTTATATAAATAAACATTTTCTCAAATATGTCATATATTTATATAATTAAGTATAGTTAAACAGTACACACACATACACACACACACACATATTGTGTCAAAATAAGCTTTTATTTAGGATGTGATTAATTGCGATTAAAAATACTGTATGTATGCATAAAGTAAAATAAATAAACACGTTTTTTGCATAAAGTTTAAATGAGACTTATTAATAAGAATAAAAAAACATATTTAAGTGACATATCAGCATTTGTAATAACATGAAGAGTTTAGATGCAAAAATCCCGAAATGCCTCTTGATGTTTTCTTCTAAAATTTGCATCTTTCTCAGACTCCTGTGTGTAGGCTCAGTCATTTTACTTTTGTATTGTATCGATTAAGTTCTTTTAATTGTCTTTAAAGTGAAATAACTGAAAATAAACAGGCTGAAAACATAAACATGCAGTAGGAGACCCCCTGGAAGGGCATCCGCTGTGTAAAACGTGCTGGATAAGATGGCGGTTTCATCCGCTGTGGTGACCCCTGATTAATAAAGCGACTAAGCGAAAAGAAAATGAATGAATGAATCTTTTTTGCTGAAGTAATATAAGTCGAAAGAGACTATGAGAGTAGCAATAAAATTAGGAATAAATAAATAAAAATAAGCATGAAAGTATTCATATTTCAAACAGTGTTATTATATATCCTTGAAATGCTATTGCTGCTTTAAATGAAAGGTTGATTCAATATTATGTAAAGTTTGCGCAATTAGTTTATTTTTTCACAATTTTTAGCTGAAGTTATACAAGTCGATAGAGACTGAGTGGCAATAAAAACAAGAATAAATAAATAAAAATGTTACATTTTTATATTTTAATACTTTTTAAAGTATTTTTAAAGTATCCCATCCTAAACAAAGGAATAAAAAAAACTAATGTTAATAACATAAGTCACAGGTTTTAAAGAATTGAGCTGTAGAACTGCGCAAATAAATAGTTTAATAATAAAAAAATAGTACTTTTGGCTGAGTCTTGTAGCTTTGATGAAAGCATGCAATGCTGGCTGTTGTGTCTTTTTCCGCTCTGTTCTGACTAACATTTCTCCTTCTTTTTCCTCTCTTTTCTCTCTCCTTCTCTGTTTTCCGCTGTCCTCAGTTTGGATGTATGGCCTTCAGGACAGTCCAACCAAGTCTGAGGCCTCAGGTACATATTAACCTTTCCTGCAAATCTTAACTGTGGTCTGTGTTTCCAGTTTTTATAAGAAAAACGGCTGGGTCCCAAATGAACACTTCACCACAATCATGTCTGGTGTAAAAATAAAGCGCCATCAATCACTGTTTAACTGGTAACTACATTAGGGACTGCAACATGGTTTTAAATGCAACTTAAATATAATATAAGTGTTGAATTTGACATAATATTAAATACATACACATACACTGGAATGTGAATTTTTTTATTATTGTTAAATCAAAAATTTTATTTACAATAAAATTATCAACCCACTTTCATGTGGTTAAAAAAGGTGGCCAAAGCTTTATGAGTGTCTTGAACACAGAAAAAGATGTTTTGAAGAATGTTTAAAGTACTTGACATTCATAGCAGATGAAGAAAACGCTAGCTGTATTCTAACATTCTTCAAAGTATCTTCTTTTGTGTTCAATGGAATAAAGAAAGACGTGGAGGGTGAGTTGTAAGTGGATTTTCATTTGTGAGTGAACTATCCCTTTAAGAGCTCCTTAAGTAAGAGTTTATGCTGGAAGGTATTTAGAATAGGTGTTGAAAGGGTAATGACGAAGAGGAAGACGTTTAGCGTTAAAACGGAGGGTGTAAAACATGACATGAGAGCTTGTGGTCTCCTCGCGCTGCTCTCCTGGGACGTCTAACAGACGACGGCCTGCAAATAAACATTTCAGAAAAGAATGCACTCCATTTTCGGAAATAAATGCTGATGCGTACAGAGCCGAAGCCCATGCGGAGTGTTTTTCACCAAGATCATCACACACGCCCCTACGTAATTGGACAATTTACTGCAAAATGAAGAAATCACTTGCTTGTTGTAGCGCTTTCTAAAAGCATGTCAAAATCCAGCTTAAAAATGTTGGTTTGTGACTCATCCCACATGGTTATTAGCTGTGTCTTTTGTTATATATAGCCTGAAACATTGCTATATTCCAGATTAGAGGGAATTTTCTAACCCTCAGGGCATCCAAGATGCAAGGTAAATGTTTTTTTGTACAGTAGAACCTTTAAAGATTATTTTTTTAGTTGAAACTGTGGTACTTAGGGATTCATAAATTCAGTCAGTGACTAAAAAAACATTAATTAAATACATTGACTTAAAAGTACTTTTTGAAAAAGTACCAGTCACCATTTACTTGCGATTTCCGTAAAAATGTACTTAATGTCAGTTAAAAAAAATATCTTTAATGTTCTTCTGAAGAAAAACAACATATTTGAAGCCTTGTGAGTCGATAAATTATAGCAAATTATGTATTTTTTTTTGGTAAACTATCCATTCACAAAGATTTTAAAGATTTTACAACTTCATAGTGTTTTGCTACTAAGAAAAGTTTAACAATGGTATTTGTAGTCGGTGTTGTGGAGGTTACTTTGGAAATGTAATAGATTACAGATTACAAATTAGCCTATTTAAAATGTTATAAGTAGTGTACCTTTTTAATTACTTTATAAAAGTAACTGATTACACCTGATTACTTGTAAGTTTCTAATGGATATTTTCAACTAAATAATTTTTAAACATTTATACCAAGCAGGCGTGATCTTTCAGTAGCTCTGTTTACTGTAAGAATTTTAAAATCATTCAACGCTGGAGTTAAGATTATATTAAATTTGTTTTAAAGTACAGCTATCACAAAACCAGACCTTATAACAAAAACGTGTTTACTGTTGTTACAAAATCTAAATTTGAGTTAGTTGTGCAGGGTGATTTTTGTGGCATTTGCAATAAGACAATACATCTGAGCTATTTTTGCAATTTTCATTTTTAAATCAAAGAAATTTGAATCCAAGTCAATCATATCTTAGCGATCAATAAACTGTCAAAGAAACATATGAGGCAGAATTGTTCAGTTCAATTATTTACTGCAAATAGTATGCTCCAAACAAAAACTAATTACAATATATAACAACAAAAACTACAAATACAATAAAAGCAGGTACACATTTAAAATACTATAGTCATTTATAGTAAAGGGAAATATTTAGGAATAAGCATTATATTGTATATTTACAACTCTTCATTAATAAATTACGCTACATAATGTAGTATCATTAGTAATTATGTAATTATGAACTAATAGTAATTACTATAGTATACTTTAGCCTTTACTACAGTAGACTATATATATATATATATATATATATATATATATATATATATATATATATATATATATATATAGCAATACTGTATGTTGTCATGTTGGCGTGAAGTGTGAGGCGGCGCTGATTAGATTGTGCCTTACTTATGGTGATAGTGACAAGATACAGAGCTCCTGTTCTCTTTCCCTTGCACTGAATTCAAAGAATTCCCTGTAATGCTGATTTAAAAGTTCATGAATGTGGAAACACATTGCTTTAGCTGTTGGCGTCATGACCGTTTGACTCCTTGTCTTGTTACTAATTAAATCCAACCTTTTGGTTGGATTAAGGACTATTTCTTTGTACAATTTGATTTAATGAACAGCCTTACTTACCAAGACATAATTTCCTTTAGTAAATAGTAGCTGGCACTGTGTTACAAAAGATTACATTAAAAAATATATATATAATAGAATGTAATATAATATAATGCAATGTAATATAATATAATATAATATAATATAATATAATATAATATAATATAATATAATATAATATAATATAATATAATATAATATAATATTACAAAGTTATATGTCCAAAATAAACATACCATGGTAAGTTTATGATTTGTATAAATTTTTGGATGTACTCAACACATCTTTATAAAAAATGTATAAAAATGTAAATACATCACTCTAATTCTCTACATACATTTTCTTTTTGTTTCTGACACATTTCTTATTAAAAGCCTCCAGAAGAGCACTGGGAATAACAAACTGCACTAAAAAGCAACTACAGAAATAGTTCTTGGTAAAATACATCATTTGAAGTTTTAGTAACTATATACAGAAAGCCTTGGAATGCATAAACCAGAGACATTTGAAGTGTTTTAAATAGTTTAGTTTAAAAAACAACATGCAATTATAATTTCATCCCAGTTTATTTAAAACAGTTAAACAGGATATTCATTGAAAAACAGAATAGTGAAACATTCGGCACATTAAGATTTGCATTTAAAAGTTGTATTTATTACATGTCACTCCAACTTTCAGAAGCATGTGATTCTTCAGGAAAGAAAACATTTATGCTAAAACCTATTTATTTCTGTGTAGAAATTAGGATACATATATTTAGGATGCTTTGTAAAAAAGAAAAAAAAAAAAATATATATATATATACATACATATATATATATATATATATATATATAATATAGTTTGCATGTTCTCCCTATATATATGTGTTATAGTTTTTTGTATATCTAAAAATATTTCAAAAATTAAATTATGAAAATTGTGCAAAAACATTCCATAATATACTATACACTCACCGGCCACTTTATTAGGTATACCAGTCCAACTGCTCATCAATGCAAATTTCTAATCAGCCAATCACATGACAGCAACTAAATGCATTTAGGGGTGTAGACAAGGTCAAGATGATCTGCTGCAGTTTAAACCGAGCATCAGAATGGGGAAGAAAGGTGATTTAAGTGACTTTGAACGTGGCATGGTTGTTAGTGCCAGATAGGCTGGTCTGAGTATTTCAGAAACTGCTGATCTACTGGGATTATTTACGCACAACCATCTCTAGAGTTTACAGAGAATGGTACGAAAAAGAAAAAATATCCAGTGAGTAGAAGTTCTGTTGGTGCAAATGCCTTGTTATGCCTCTGGTATGCCTTGATACCAGAGGTCAGAGGAGAATGGCCAGACTGGTTTGAGCTGATAGAAAGGCAACAGTGACTCAAATAACCACTTGTTACAACCGAGGTGTGCAGAAGAGAATTGCTGAACACACAACAGCAGCAGAAGACCACTCAGGGTGCCTCTCTTGTCAGCAAAGAACAGGAGACTGAGGCTACAGTTTGCACAGGCTGACCCAAAATTGGACAACAGAAGATTGTAAAAATGTTGCCTGGTCTGTTCAGTCTCGATATCTGCTGCGACATTCAGATGGTAAGGTCAGAATATGGCATTAACAACATTAAAAAATGGGTCCATCCTGCCTTGTATTAAAGGTTTAGTCTGATGGTGGTAGTTAAATGGTGTGGGGGTATTTTCTTGGCACACTTTGGGCCCATTAGTACCAACTGAGCATCATGTCAACGCCACAGCCTACCTAAGTATTGTTGCTGACCATGTCCATCCCTTTATGACCACAGTGTACCCATTTTCTGCTGGCTACTTCCAGCAGAATAGTGCCCCATGTTATAAAGCGTGAATCATCTCAGACTGTTTTTTTGAACATGGCAATATGTTCACTGTACTCAAATGGCCTTCATAGGCACCAGATCTCAATCCAATAGAGCACCTTTTGATGTGGTGCAACAGGAAATTCACATCATGGTTGAGCAGCCGACAAATCTGCAGCAACTGCGTCAAGCGATCATGTCAATATGGAACAAAATCTCTGAGGAATATTTCTAGTACCTTCTTGAACCTATGCCACAAAAGATTAAGGCAGTTCTGAAGGCAAAAGGGGGTCCAAATCGGTCCTACTGTAGTAAGGTGTACCTAATAAATTGGCCGGTCGATGTATCATCATTTTGAGGTTTCAAAGCCCTGGTCCTCATCTTAAACATATGCAAAGACAAAAAAACCTCGCATAAACACATGTATACAAATATAGTCTTATATAACTTGTAAAACACTAAAGAACTTTCATTTTTACCTCGACACTCTTTATGTCACTATTAAAGAAGAGCAGGTTAATGAGATAATCAGAGGAACCACAAAAAGAAAGACAGAAGGACAGAGAAAGAGAGAGTGTGGCTTAACCTCAGCTGAAATGCTTTCTTCTTGCGTTTCGCATAAACACAGCTTCTCTCTCTTTACTCGGCCCACTCATATGTTTCTATTTAAGGCTTGGAGAGCAGTCTACCCTGATTGGCGTTTCTCTCTCTCTCTCTCTCTCTCTCTCTCTCAACCAGATGGGAGGAGGGACAGAGTAAGAGAGAGAATTCAAGTGAAAAAAGAGAAAGGGAGGGCAGGAGAAAGAGGGAGGGAGGCCTGTTCTTGCTCTCCTGTTGAAGAAAAACTTTCTATCCCTCCACTCACGAGTCACGTCCCCTACAGTAAACAGCTCTCTTTTTTCCCTTCCTCCCCATTTCCTCCTGAAAACCTTCACTGTATTATGGAGACCCGGCATCACCAAGAGCCTACCGAGCGCTCGAGTCCCTGAAGGATCTTTACCTCGTTTTGCTTTTTTGCAATTGTCCGTTTCCCCCATTCAAATGCACGTCCAGCGAGGGCGAAGGTTCGTCTAAATGGCCTGTCTTTGCAGAGCATGCAGGAGTCTGAGTTACGCTAGGTTGCGGAGTGCGGATGGCGGTGTACCGGGGTCAAGCCACGGGTCGCTGGCAGGGCAGGGTTGGCAGGGGGAGCGCGGGACGGTGGCTGACAGCTTGTTTCTTCCCCTCGCCGGCAGGACTGGACAGCAGTGAGCCCATGGTGCTGGAGCAGTACGTGGTGGTGGCCAACTACGAGAGGCAGGAAAACTCGGAGATCAGTCTGAAGGCTGGAGAAACGGTGGACGTCATTGAGAAGAGCGAAAGCGGTGAGTCCCTTACACACACACACACAAACACAGGAGCTAATTGGCTTACCACGTGGTGTTTATTGGCGAAAGCTCGTGTATACACAAACCACAAGCATTCAGAGTCGCCTGCACACATGAATGCTTTCAGACGCTGTTCTGATGCACACACACTCAGAAATAAGGTACAAGGTCTGTCACCAGGGTGGTACCTTATCAAAAGGTACACTTTTGTACCATACAGGTGGACATTAGTACCTTTAGGGTATACTTGTGCACCTTAAAGGCTCACTTTGTACCTTTAAAGTATCACATTTGTACTTTGTAAATATTAACATGTACCTTTAAGGACTTGTAAGGAACAAAAATGTCCCCAGTGACAGATTGTGTACCTTTATATCTGAGAGTGCACTTCTTCTTTGATCTATAGCTTTTCCTTTGGTCTTTGTCCTTAAGATCCCTTGATTCTCTCTTCTGACACCCCCCCCCCCCCCCCCCCCCTCACAATGTAAATCTACTGTCTGGCTCCACCTGGAGGTGTCGTATGGCCAGTTTTGTTGGCGGTTGGTCAGACAGAACCCCCTCCTCACCTCTGGAATGGAGGCCAGATTGATGTGGAATGTCCATGAGATAGGCATGAGAAGTTTGTGGGTTGAAACATGTGCTAATGGATAAGAGTCACCATTGTGAAGATTAACAACAACAAGTTAATTTAGCCTTGAGTGTTGTTTTTTTTGCCTTTGGTTTCTGTTTTCCCAGATCAATGATCTTGCTAATGCTGTAAATGTTCAAACTATGTGCAAACCTTTTATGTTAACATATCTCGTAGCCTTGCATAGTAGAAGTTGAACATTGACTCTACTGAGGTTATGAACTTTGTTTCTTGTCACGCTTGCTGAACTCTTGAAAGTAGGATTGCTCATCCAGAGGGCTAGCAATGATAGGCTTTCAAGAACTAGCATCCTACTGTTGAAAGTGTATACAAATGTTAGTGTGAGATAATGGAAGTCATTATATTATCTTGAAATCATGAGGAAGAGGGTGGGGAGGATTAGTAGGAGTTGTCAGGAGTTATCAAGATGAGTAAATATCCAGTAACCCCATTGGAACTCACTGATAATAGAGCTTGACCTTCTGGTATCATCTATCATAACATAACCATCTGTCTAAACTAGTCTAGACTATGGCTGCATTCGAAACCAAATACTTTCATACTATACAGTACGCTAAAATCAGTATGTGAGCCGAGTCGTTTGTCCGAATTCATAGAGTTCGAAAATCAGTATGCGAGAAGAAATACCCGGATGACTTACTACTTCCGGCAAGATTCTGAAGTGCGCATTCCATGCACGCTGCGCTATCCCATGATGCCCCGCAAGAGAATTCATGAATGGGACTGAAGCAACACAACTGATACAGGTAGGTCATGTGACCATGACAAAATAGCGGATGTAGTATTCCATTCATACCTTTCACATTCATACTGTGTAGAATGTACTTTTCTAACTGCCGAGTAGTACGTTTAAATTCAAATGCAGCACCAACTGAATAGGCGGTTTCTTACGCAGCATATGTCTAAACCAATCTTAATAGGTGTTCAATATGAGACATTGATATTGGAAGTTTGTTTGCTGCTAAGTGTTTTTTTTCTTTATTTTATTTAAACATACCAGCAAATATTAGCTATACTGAATGTGAAAGATGCCCACTGTAAATAGTTTGTCATTTTTGTCAGTATGCCACATCTAGTGTAGACAGAAAACCATGCAACAGGAGTTTAAACTGATGAGGTTGACGAATTTGACGAAACTGACGAATTTCACATGACACAGAAGTGATAAATCAAAACCAAACCAATGTTTGGTAACGTCTGAATATGCACTGTAAAGGCTCCACCTTCTTTTGTAGCAGTTCATTTACATTTATCAACACAGGCTCATTGTGAAAACGTATTCCCATATACATTTCTGGAGAGCACGAATTATGTAGCCAGAGCAACGTATGGCTGCATTTCGTCTTTAAAACGAACGATACAGGGCGGTATGGAACCATAAACAGCTTCTGTTTCTTTTCACGCTACCGGCTGACCACTTACCTCGGTGTAGATGGCTATTCTGCTGTTACCAGTTTGCCCAGTGGCTCGCCTTACGCATAAGTGGACTTGAGACGCAGAGAGGAGTTGACCACAACAATGTGGTTTGAGTCCAGTGAGAACGGTTCCAGAAAGCAGGCAAAACAAAAACAAAAGACAAAACATTAAATAAACTAGTAAATAACAGAGAAAGAATGTGGTAAAATCTGAAAATGTGGTAAAAATCAGGCTAAGGCTTTTCCTTTCTGGATTGCTTTTGAAAACACTGTCTGTTGGGTTTAGAAAAGGCGGTGGGCGGTGTAATGTTTGTGTTTAACTCTAAGCCAATGATGTTATATAAGCAGGACATTCCATGTTCCTATTGGCTAGAATGAGTGTCAGTCAAGTTCCTCAAGGAAATGATAGAGAGAATAGGAAACAAGGGAACGCATGCGATGCTGTAAGAAAGCGCTAAGAAAGCGCTATGTTCTGAGTTAAGTTGATATTAAAAAAAACATACGTTGTTACAGCCAGCCTGTGAGTGGTCTAATATTCAACTGACACAACATGGTGTCAGAATAAACGGATGACAAACGAAGATGGATTCAGCAGGAGTCCCGATGCCGATTATGAACTGGGAGGCTAATAACCTGCCCGAGTCATGGCGCAAGTTTCAACAGCAAGCAGAGCTAATGTTCAGCGGACCCCTAAAAAATAAGGGTGAGGATGAAAAATGCAGTTATCTTCTCCTGTGAGTGGTCTAATATTCAACTTACACAACAGGCGGATTAATATGTGCTTTTGAAAACACTATCTATTAGGTTTAGGGAAGGCTGTGGGCGGGTTAATCAATGCTTTTGAAAACAATATCGGTTGGGTTTAGGGAAGGCTGTGGGTGGGTTAATCAATGCTTTTGAAAACACTATCAGTCGGGTTTAGGGAAAGGGGATTTGGCGGGAATCAGTCAGTCAGTCAGTCAGTCAGTCAGTCAGTCAGTCAGTTGTCAGCGACCTTTGGTGGATTCAGGCAAGAACAACAGGGATGAATGGCACTTGCGAGAGAAATTTGAGATCTGCAAAAGCGTACACAGCAGCCTCTGGTGGATTTGCGAAAAAACAGACTGCAAAAACGTACCTCCTGGGAGGTATTTCGTGTTCTCCAGAAATGTATACATGGGTACATATCAATAATGATCCTGGATTGGCATTTAAAGAGACACACATAGAAACAGCATGTCTTGCTTCCACTTAAAATAGCCCATCTACAAAAATAGTTTACTAAAATCTGTGGAGCATTTTTAGCTGACATTTATAGAAACATTATGGGGGCACTTATATTTTGTCTTGTAAAAAGAGCATAATAGCTCCTCTTTAATAATAACAAAAGAGATTCTTCCTCAGGATGTGGATGTCCTTGAGTAAAAAACTCTTGGCTTCCTTGGCCACAGTTAAACTCCAGCTGTTTTACAGTGCAGGCAAAGCATGACAACTTTGCTTGAGTCGAGAAAAGATGTACCACGCAAGGCCACAGGATTAATGAGTTGGAAACAGAAGCAGAGAGAGTCTAAATGAGAGAAACGAACAGAATATAAACACAGAATCATCTGCAAGAATGCATGTTTGAGCTGTTGAGAGTCAAATGGTGACTGAATTGTTATTTTTAAAAGGATAGTTCACCCAAATTGAACATTTACTCAAGTTGTTCTAAACCTTTATGAATTTATTTCTTCTGTTGAGAACAAAACAAAATTTTCTGAAGAATGTTGGGAGAAAACAGCCATTGTAGGAACAAAAAATACCATTGAAGTCAATTGACATTCGTTAGTATATCTTCCTTTGTGTTCAACAGAAGAGACACTCAACCAGCTTTGAAACAAGCGGATGGTGAGTAAATGATAGTGAAATGTTTATTTTGGGGTGAACTATCCCTTTAAGTGAACCGTCGCTTTAAATCTGCAGCCTATAAGCCAACTCCTGGAGTGAACTGTCTGTCCTTCGTTGACTCCAGAATTCATCAGATGTTCAAAGCGTTTATTGAAACTGAAGATGTGCAGCATCAGCTTGATATCTTGACACAAGTTGCCCTTCCTCCAACATCCAATCTCTTAAACAGATTTCCATATTTTGTACTATAGTATTAAATGACAATTCAAGTGCCGTTCAGAGTGTATTTTTTACCATTGGATATCATTCAAACCAACTTTTTAATGTGGCAAAGCTGCCTTTATAAGAAGTGATTGGCAGAAATAGGGCTGCTCTGGCTTCCCTCTCTAGGTCATGGAGAGGAAACGATGGAAAAATCCCCCTTGTCCTTAGTTTCATTACAGGCTAATGGATCCAGCAGAGTCTTACAGAGCGTTTACAGTGTCACGAATCCCAAACCAATACTAGCAGAAAGCGTTCAAAAGTTTTTGTTGCATGTCTGTAATATAGATAGCACAGTCAAGAGTTTATAAATCAGCCTGCTGTTTTTTTAGCATTATTTTAGGCAACTCTTCCATATAACAAAATAAATACAAGAATTATTAGTGGAACTGGTCGGAGGTCAGTAGCATTTGATTCCAGTGAGGGTAAACCTGACATGGCAATCTTCTGACATGTTGTCGGATATCTGCTTCAGATGCTGCTGTTGGTCCACGAGTTGTTTTGTTTCTTCCATTTTTGATTATATAGTTTAAGTTACTGTAAATACACTTTTAGGCTCTAAAACACAGATTAGCCGTCCATCAAATTATTTTTGTTTTCAGTGAACTGTATTTCTACCTTTATTATTAAGCAGATACTAACAGTACACTACCTGACAAAAGGCTTGTCCTTAATCCCAGTAGTAAGAGCAACAAATAAGAACTTGACTTTTAGTTGATCAATTGGAAAAGTGACAGAAGGTGTCAAAAAAGAAGAGCAGAAGGAATTCAATTTAGCGCAGGTTTAAAATGTGAGTATGTTGACAT